CCCCCCCCACACACACACATTCCAACACCAAATCCCCAAATCCTAGCTTGAGAACTCTAGAATCAGCCAACTCACACCCTTGCTTTAGAACTCTAGAATCAGACAACCCACACCCTTGCTTTAGAACTCTAGAATCAGACATCCAAGTGATCAAAATTATTAAAGGTGTTTTTTTCTAAATAATTCTAAATTCTAGAGACAGAGGTCAGTCTTAGATTGATTTTACAATATACAATTGTATAAGTAAACATCTTCATCAATTAATACTTAAACAAAAACACTGATACAGATTAGATTGTATATTAAATGTCTGTATAAATTAGATTGTATATTTAAGTTAGATTGTATATTAAATGTCTGTATAAGTTAGATTGTATATTAAATGTTTGTATAAGTGAGATTGTATATTAAATGTCTGTATAAATTAGATTGTATATTAAATGTCTGTATACGTGAGATTGTATGTTAAATGTCTGTATAAGTTAGATTGTATATTAAATTCTGTATAAGTTAGATTGTATATTAAATGTCTGTATAAGTTCGATTGTATATTAAATGTCTGTATAAGTTAGATTGTATATTAAATTCTGTATAAGTTAGATTGTATATTAAATGTCTGTATAAGTGAGATTGTATATTAAATGTCTGTATAAGTGAGATTGTATGTTAAATGTCTGTATAAGTTAGATTGTATATTAAATGTCTGTATAAGTTCGATTGTATATTAAATGTCTGTATAAGTTAGATTGTATATTAAAAGATATATTATTTCATTTTGTTCTGAAATATCTTACACCAAGACATACGATTTATGTTATGCCTGAGATATCTTTGAATGTTTCAAAGATTGTCTAATTTAATTGTGTTAAGGAAACATCATTTAAAAGATTTACAAATTAATGAAGGCTCTCTGTGATTACATGAGATAAAAACGTCCTTATGTGGTTGATAAACCTTTACACAAGCTACATTATTGAGCAGCGAGATATTGTCTAATACACAGCTATACACCTTATTACTTCAAACATATTTTATTGATTAATGACAATCAAAAGGATTGGACACACGTTCCAGCTAGCATACTTGCCAACTCCCCCTATTTTGGAGGGAGATTACCGACTTTGGACTTTTTGAGCATTTTCATTCAACCAGTGAATTTGCTCAACTATTCCTATTTTCTAAGATCTGATGATTTAATCTGAAAGAACAACTCAAAAGATGTTATCTAAAAGTGTTAATGTATTTTTCCCAGGGTGTACATATACACATTATATCTATGTATTTAATTTAACGCTATCCGCCCCCC